AGCATCACCCCTTGGCCCCTTTACCAAAGGGGCAGGCCGGCGACACATAGCTCAGTTCTCCACAAGGGATAGGCCGGTCGTGGTACTCCGGTTAGGTGTGCCACTTGGGCCAATGGCGTGAGGGAGAGGACATCTGCTCTACGCACGCATCAATACCGTTGGACAGTTCTGCGTGTACTGGTGGAAGGACTAAGCCTTTACATGTGTAAGGTGGTGAGAGGCGAGCACTGTCACCTGTCCAGGGAAGGACAGCAGAGGTAGTGCGCGCACAATCTTGAAACTGTATGGCCAGCCTAGAAATAGAAGGAAAGAGGAATGTTGAAGGTATGCAAAATTCACTCTATCATTAATACACTCTCTCTCTCTAATAGCCTTTTTCTTCCTCCAGTGGTCTGACTTGATCGTCGGAGGGTCTATCCGGCACACCACCGCCAGGCAGCTCACCATTTCTGTGTTGCAGAGACACGCGCCGTCACGAGAAGCTTGACGTCCAAGGAGTACGGAAAGCAGAGGATATTTCGCCCCCATACAATTGTCATAATTTTTTAGTCTTTTAATAGAGTTTATTTAGACCCAGTTTGAATCAGTTAAAAGCATTTCGCCTCGTTTAAAAGCACACTATTTTAATAATTTTTAAAATTTTTAATTAAAATATGAGGTAAATAAATTAATATATTTAAAATAATTTTTTAATTTTGTATAAAAAAATATACAAAAAATAAAGAGAAAAATAAATCTTTGATTTTTTAATACAAATTATTGACTTTTTAATTTTTTTATTAATTTTTTGACTTTTAAACTAAAATATTGAGTTGCCAGACCAAATCTAAATAAGTATAAACTTTACTTAAGAAGGAAACAAAATCAACTTTTCCACTAATAAAAACATATTAGTTTTAGAATGTTGTTATTAACACCTCCATTAATTATTTTGAACTCCCATTTCGTTGGACCCCATTTATAAATTTTAAACCCTTAAAATTTCTTTTCTTCTCTAAAATAATATCAAAATTATCCTTGTAAAAATATTTCACTTATTCAATTGAATGTACACCCCCACACCCCAAAAAAGCCTCTCTCTCCAAAACCTAACAAAAATCACGAAAGTTACTTAAATTATTAATTGAAATAAATTTATGACTGTATTAAAAACTGTTAATTGGCTTGATAATTTATTAATAAAATAGATAATTTGTTATGATATTAAAAACTTTAAGGGGTTTGATGTAATTTCAAAACTACATAAAAAAAATCATATTTTAAACAAATCTCAAAGGCTATATTTGTAATTTATCCCAAAAAATGTATCATTATTTTTAATTATGAGATTAGGGGTGAGCAGCGGATATACCGATCCGTCAAAATCGACCGAACCGAACCAATCCGCCGCATTTTGGACGGATGCTTGATGACGAGTAGACGGTTGCGGATTGATTTTCTCCAATCCGCCAATTTGGCGGACGGATGGCGGATTTGAGGTTCCTTTGGTCGCAACTGAACTGCCAAACCGCAAGCACCCTTAATAATTTGTAAGATTTCGTGTTTTCAATTTATTTAAATATTTTGTTTGTGTTTTCAATTGAAAAAGTGTTCAAATGTTCTATTGAAAAAAAGTTTTCAACTTGAATATATTTTTTGAATTGAAAAAAATAAACGTATTATTTATCTATGTTTCTTGGTTTTTAAATTTAACTCTAAAAGTAATAAATAGAAAATATGATGTATGCTAGTTAGTTTTTGTTTTCAAAAACATATGTAAATATAACAATACAGAGACATACAATTTCTACTATTGCTCTGTTCATGGGTTTGGTGATTTGAATTGTTTTTATATTATAAGAACTACAGATTGTAATACTTTATGTGGATGAGGCTGTTGGATTTATTTTCTAGTGTGGCCTAATAACCTACATATTTTTACATATTTTATTTTATTTGGACTCCACAATTAGATAAAGCCAATATTATATATAAAGTTTAGTAATTAGAATTTTAATATAATCACTCTTCTAAGATAAAAAGGAAACCTTGATGGATTAGGAATTCTTCTGATAAAGTTTATCTGGCCCTCTTCTTTCCTCTATATAAGGATGGGTGACTCTCTTGTATATGATAAGTATTTTTCTATCACTCTAAGTTTTATAGTCATCCTAATTAAGAGAGACAGGGAGAAGAAGGTGAGCCAAGAATTCAAGGTTCAACTATTAGGGGTATTTTCTCAACTTCTCTAATTCAATGGCTGACTAAGGTATGTTCATTTTATTCTTGAATTGTATTGAATTCAAGATCCTGTTAAGTTTAGTTCTGCATTATTATTATGGTTACATGTGGTATCAGAGCCTCAGTTTTTTGAATCAATACACCTTGGAATAATAATATATTTATGAATATTATTATTATAATTATTCATAAAACGGTACATTTGTTTTTTTTTAATTATCGACATTAATTTTTAAATCATATTTGGGATGTAAAGTTTTGGCTAAAATAATCATATTAATTTTTAAAGTGGTTATTATAATTTTACGTGGCTAAAACTTAAAAGATTTAAAATTGGGTCGATTAAATTAAAAATGGGTCAGTTTATAATATGATTTAAACGTGGCCTAGTTTTATAAAGCCTTGCGTCGTGGTAATGCATGCTTCGTTTTTTACGTCTTAATTATATGTATCAATCGCGGTACAGGGCCCGAAAGACTAACGGCTCGAATGGCTCAAATTTTTTCCCGCGTGAAATTTTGATTCACGTGGAGCTCATGTGTTCTGCACAAAGTGATGAAGAAAAATGAAACAAAAGAGCAGAAACCAGAGAGAAGAAAAGGGAGAGAGAGGGAGACGACCACGACGGCGAGAGAAGGTTACGACCACGACGACGAAGGCGAGAGAGATGACGACGATCGACCTGGTGTTCACTGAGTTTTTTACGTCTTAATTATATGTATCAATCGCGGTACAGGGCCCGAAAGACTAACGGCTCGAATGGCTCAAATTTTTTCCCGCGTGAAATTTTGATTCACGTGGAGCTCATGTGTTCTGCACAAAGTGATGAAGAAAAATGAAACAAAAGAGCAGAAACCAGAGAGAAGAAAAGGGAGAGAGAGGAAGACGACCACGACGGCGAGAGAAGGTTACGACCACGACGATGAGGGCGAGAGAGATGACGACGATCGACCTGGTGTTCACTGACGGGCGTCGCTGACCACCGTCCAGCGGTGTTCGGAATCTCCATTTTGTATCTGTAGGTAAGGAATTTGAGATGTATGTTAATACAAAAAACGTTTGTCTAAACTGAATCTGGAGACAATTACTTACCTATTTGTAGGTTAGTAATCTGTATGTTGAATCTGTAAGTAAGTAATCTGTATGTTGAATCTGTGTATATTCAGCAGATTCAACACACTGAATCTGGAGACAATTACTTACCTATCTTCAATTACTTAATCTGTATGTTCTCCACTGAATCTCCATTTAATAATGATCTGTGTATGTTAAAAAAATTCTGCACTTAGTCTCCACTACAGCTATGTACCATCTGGTTATTGATCTGTGTTTGTTATTGATTGAACATCTGGTTATTGATATGTGTATGTTAAAAAAAAAAAAATTGGTTGTTTTGGAAACAAGCCCTCTGTTAAACATTTCCATGGTAGTGATGCATGCCAATTGTTTGATGAAAGTCCACATAGAGAACTTAGCCTATTTTTTGTGTTGGTTGAGTTCACATGAAAAATTAGGACTTCCCTTACTGTGTAATCAACTTAACTGAACCATATATTTTCAGTTTGTTTCTGAACTCCCCACCGCAACATAAATTTCCTTGTAATCAACTTAACTCAACCATAGATTTTTAGTTTGCTTTTGATTCTGTTTGTTAAAATGAATCAACCTCCTCGAGCCATGCACCACCTTCTAATCTCAGTGTGTTGAATTAATGTCAGTGTTGTTGAATTAATATCAGTGTTGAATTTCATCTCAGTTTGAAAAATTGAAATGCACATACATGCACTTACAGTTTAGTTTCTATTTGGTTTAAAGCTACACGAACTACACACTTCAATGGACATTGATTCAACTAATCCTTCATTGAATGGGAGTGAGGAAGTTGAAGAGGCGAAAAACAATCCGTCATTAAATGACATTGGTGAAGTTGAAGAACATATGAAGGGCATTTGTTTTAGCTCAAAGCAAGAAGTATATTCGTTTTATGCAAAATATGCGAAGCACGTCGGATTTGCTGTAGCTTATAGAACACAGAATATTGGACAAGATGGGGAAGTAAAATACTTTGGAGTTGAATGTACTCGGGCACGCAAGAGAACAAAACGATCAGAAGTACACCCTCTCGAACCATCTTTGTCATCATTCATTGACTGTAAAGCAAAGGTTAGAGCAACTCTACAAAAGGATGGAAGATTTAAGTTGACCACAGTTGTCCTTGAACATACGCATGACTTGATTCCTAGTGACTCACGACATTTTGTAATGAATAAGAGAATTCTTACCCCTGTGAAGAGAAGACTAGAAATAAACGATGAAGCAGGAATAGGGGTGGCTAGGAATTTTCATTCTATAGTTGTTGAAGCAGGGGGTATGAGACATTAACATTTGATGAACAAGATGCCAGGAATCATATTCAGAGTATGAGAAGATTGAGGCTTGGGGTCGGAGATGCTGAATCAGTTGCACTTTATTTTCATACCGAGGCACACGGCCGTCGGCTCCGAAAAATCAGAAACCGGGCTCCAAACGGGAAAAATGGCCTACGACCACGAAACGTAGCCTACGGCCACTTAGAGATGGTCTTCGAGACCTCTCCCTCCCTTCGGGAAGAGAAAACAGAGAAAACAGAGCCTGGTTCGCAAATCGAGGCAAAGCATGAAAGAGTCCGGAAGTCCGGAGGCGAGGCTCGCAGCCAAGACTCTGAAATCTCTGAACGAGCACGATATGCAACATCACCAAGCACTCAATCGGTGACGTATGAGTCTTAAGGTCGGTCAAAAATGGGGTGTCTACAGCTATTCAGAGAATGGTTAAGTTGCATGTCTGACGTTCCTCCAAAAGCTATGATAACAGACCAGTGCAGAGCTATGCAAAATGCCATTGAAGTTGTCTTTCCAGAAGCTCGACATCGTTGGTGCTTATGGCATATCATGAAGAAAATTCCTGAGAAATTAAGAGGATATGCCCAATATGAATCCATCAAGCTTGCTTTGCAAAATGCAGTTTATGATTGTTTTACAAAACATGAATTTGATGAAGAATGGCAAGCGATGATTACAAAGTTCAAGCAAGATGATAATTAGTGGTTGGGGGTATTATACAGTGAGCAACATAGGTGGATTCCTGTGTTTGTGAAGGATGTTTTTTGGGCTGGCATGTCGACTACACAACGAAGTGAGAGCATGAACGCATTTTTTGATGGATATGTGAACTCAAAGACAACTTTAAAGCAATTTGTTGAACAATATGATAATGCCTTGAGAAGTAAGGTTGAGAAAGAGATGAAAGCAGACTTCAAATCTTGAAACAAATTGTATGATTGCTTAACGGTATATGAGTTTGAAAAGCAATTTCGTGCAGCCTACACAAATGTAAAATTTAAAGAAGTGCAAGTAGAATTGAAACGACTATTGTATTGTCGTGCGAATCTTGTCAAAGAAGAGGGAGCTATTTGCACTTATCATGTGAAGGAGGCTGTTCTTGTGGGTGAGAAAATGAAGACTGTGGAATTTGTTATGTACTTTAATGCAACTGAATGTGAATTGCATTGTATGTGTCGGTGGTTTGAGTTTAGGGGCATTATGTGTGCCCATGCAATTACTATGCTACTTGAGAGGTATATATATCAGGTGCCAGATCAATACATTGTATCAAGATGGAGAAAAGATATCGAAAGAGGGTACACATGCATTCCAACCACATACACTAAAGCCAGGGCTGTTCTTAATGCAAAGTTGCATGACAAATACCACAAGATGTTGGACGAAATCATAGAAATAGCTGCCAACGATGATGGTAAACATGAAGTGCTTGATCTTAGGTTGATAAAAATCAAGGATAGAGTGAGAAAAGATCAATTGGGTAGTGCAAGTCATGCACCACCTTCTACTAGTGACGTGCCACCTTCTACTAGTAATGTACCACATTGTCATAGTTCATTGAGAAGTCCGTTTGCTCGTAGTACTACAAAAGCAAGCATGCCTCGCAACATGCTTAGTCCAATGGTTGCTCGCCGAAGAGGACGTCCATGTACGAAACGGAAGGTTAGCAAAGTGGATGCAATAGTGAATCGGTTGAAGGAAAAGAGTAAAAAGCCTCCAAAAGCTGACCCGGTTCATCAATGGCAGCCTCGGAAGTTAAATTTTCCTGGTACCGATGATATGCAAGGCAATATTTATCATGAACCGGTATGTATTTGAATTTTTATGTTGTTGGTTAATTTTTATTTTAATGTCTTCTATGTATAATGAAATTGTGCTACGATGATCATAAGGCAACGCAAACTGCACCTTACTATTTTCCTTGCATGGATGGCACACAACAGAGTATGTATGTACCGGTATGTGGTCAATGTTTAAACTAAAATATTTGTTCTTGTTTTAATTGATATATATGTTGAATGGACAATATTTGTAAAGTGTACTTGTTTATTGAATAGGCACAGTTTAGTCAAATGCAAACGGTGGACAATATTGGAGGCACATCTCATACTCAAAGTTCGACAATCGCTTTCATGGTAATTTTTTATCACTGCTTTTAATTGGGAGCTATATGCATTGACTTGGCCAAGTTCTATATATTAGATGTTTTGATTGGTGAAGGTTGGGATGTAATGGAGATGTTAAAGTATTTAAATAAAGATGTCATTTTTTTCAGGAAGAGGAGCTGTTGTCTTTGCTCCGTGATGAAGAAGATGCAGAATATTGAATCTGATTGTTGGTGCATTACCTGAAGATGGTTGACTGTTGTAAAAAATGCTCACTGAGAACTACAAATATGTTGTTGTAAATCATCTATTTGGAGATGTGTCCTTTTACTGTAATGGTCATATTTTATGCTCAATGATGGTAAATGGATGTTGAATGGGCCAGATTTTGAATGTATATCTGTCATGCTGAAATGTATATATCTGATAGCCACAGGTTATATTTTATGGTAATATTCCAGGTTTTGAATGTATGTTGAATCTGCTGAATCTGCAGAACAGAATCTGCTGAATGAAGCATCACAGAATTTGAATGTTGAATCTATGAATCTGCTGAATCTGTCTGTATGTTGAATCTATGAATCTGCAGAACAGGTTTTGAATGCTTGAAGGTTTTGAATCTGTATGTTTTGATTGTGTATGTCTGTAAAGTGTACTTCTTTATTGAATAGACACAGTTTAGTCAAATGCAAATGGTGGACAATATTGGAGGCACATCTCATACTCAAAGTTCGACAATCGCTTTCATGGTAATTTTTTATCACTGCTTTTAATTGGGAGCTATATGCATTGACTTGGCCAAGTTCTATATATTAGATGTTTTGATTGGTGAAGGTTGGGATGTAATGGAGATGTTAAAGTATTTAAATAAAGATGTCATTTTTTTCAGGAAGAGGAGCTGCTGTCTTTGCTCCGTGATGAAGAAGATGCAGAATGCTGAATCTGATTCCTGATGCATTACCTGAAGATGGGTGACTGTTGTAAAAAATGCTCACTGAGAACTACAAATATGTTGTTGTAAATCATCTATTTGGAGATGTGTCCTTTTACTGTAATGGTCATATTTTATGCTCAATGATGGTAAATGGATGTTGAATGGGCCAGATTTTGAATGTATATCTGTCATGCTAAAATGTATATATCTGATAGCCACAGGTTATATTTTATGGTAATATTCCAGGTTTTGAATGTATGTTGAATTTGTATGTTGAATCTGCTGAATCTGCTGAACAGAATCTGCTGAATGAAGTATCACAGAATCTGAATGTTGAATCTGCAGAATCTGTATGTTGAATCTATGAATCTGCTAAATCTGTCTGTATGTTGAATCTATGAATCTGCAGAACAGGTTTTGAATGCTTGAAGGTTTTGAATCTGTATGTTTTGATTGTGTATGTCTGTGAGCATAACAGGTTTTGAATGTATGTCTGTGAGCATAACAGGTTTTCAATGTATGTTTTGAATCTGTATGTCTGTGAGCATAACAGGTTCTGAATGTATGTTTTGAGCATAACAGGTTTGAATCAAGGCTTGAATCTGTATGTCTGTGAGCAAAACTTGTTTTGAATGTATCTGTGAGCATAATAGGTTTTGAATGCTTCAAGGCTTGAATCTAAATGCAACAATGCTCCACATTTTGTATTATTGAATGCTCCATGCAAACAAATCCATTCTGTGAATCTGCCTGAATGGTCAATCTGTTGTGGTCCATATTTTTAACAGATCCATTCAATCTGCTTGAATGCTCAATTTGTCATGCTCAATCTGTTATGCTCCACATCCATTGAAATAGATTCATCATAAAATGGTCCAGGTTATGGTTGTTCAAACATTAAATTCATCCATTCAATCTGTTATGGTTGTTCAATCCATAATAAAACAGATCCATTGAAATTACAAATAGAATACGTCCATTACAAAATTGGTCCTTTACAAAATATGTCCATTACATAATAGAATAGGTCATTCACATATGTCCATTACATCCATTCAAACACTTCCCAAAATATGTCCATTACATTTGTTTACAGGATAAAATAAAAAAATACACAAAATACAATGACATAAGTCATTGCCTTCAAAATCTTCTCCATCCTTTCGAGCCTTCTATCATGCTCACCAACCCTTCTCCTTAGCTCATTAATTTCTTTAGTTTTTATATCTGTGGTGGCAACATCGTTGTCATCATCATTTGCGAAGGCGAAGTAATTGCAGTGTTCGTTCACAGTCTACAATGCAAAAGAATCGGTTAATGAAATCAGACAAATGAAATTTGTAACAAGTAAAACATTAATTTATATTGCAGATACTTACATATTTGTCTGGGCAAACAAAAAACACACGTCCCTCATTTCCATTTTCATTCGTTCGTACAATGTGCACGGATGCTGTACTTCCACAATAACAGAATCTTGGCTTCAATCTTATTCTCATTCCATTAGTAGAAAATGAAGCCATTTTTTAATTTGCATAAAAAATACGAATACATTCAACTACCTCAATCTTGATAACAAAGCCACTTTAAATTCTAATGAATGTTGATTCTTATGACTATTGAATCCTTATGAATGTTCAATGTTGATAACAAAGTGAATGCATAATATCAATGTTCACGCTTACAATGTTTGTTACTCTCTTCTATTGCAGTCACTTTTGGTGTATAATATCAATGTTCACACTTACAATTCTTACAATGTATGTCCCTTATTCTATTACTCTCTTCTATTGCAGTCACTATTGGTCTATAACATTGAGAAACAGATCTAAGGACTTCACATACAATTCTGCTTCAGGTATGGTCTCACCTAGGCTGAAAGATGAATAAACTATGTCATTGAGCATAGCATAAAACTGGTCAAAGGTCTCAGACTCTGTTGTGTAACAGAATGTGTTTAAACTGAATCTGAATCTGTTAGAATGTTTAAACTGAATCTGTTAGAAGCAGAATCTGTGAACATTTTAGTTTAAACTGTTAGAAGCAGAATCCATTTTAAACATTTTAAACTAGTTAAACTAAAATGTTGACCAGTTTAAACTAAAATGTTTACCTGAGCATAACATTCAACATTGTAACAGATTCTAATAGATTCTGTTTCAGTTTGACAGATTCTCAGGTATGGTCTAACAGATTCTCTTATTGGGGATATTGTAACTAATGCTAACAAATTCCTACTTGTTCAACAAAACATGACTGCTTTTTTTTACTAACAGAGCCATTATTATCAATCTGAACAGCTGAGGATAACAGAGAACAGAGTAGCACAAAGCCAACCTGTATTATACAAAGCCAACCTGAACAGAGTAGAACATGATGTTAGGTGTTTTACAATACTGCTTTTTTTTCTTCCTCCCAGGCCTTCATCCCATTGAAGGCCATTGAATTTCAGACAACAGAGTAGCACAAAGCCAACCAACAATAAATTTCAGACAACAAAAAATTTCATTTAAAGTGGGTTCAAAATGCAACCAACATATTATGTTTTCAATACAGAGATGAGAAAGCCAACCATTATTATACAAAAAATTTCAATACAAACCAACATATTATGATTTCAATACAGAGATGAAATGCAAAACACCTAACATCCTCGACTAATTTCTACAAAATATTAGTCATCCTCAGTCCTCCAAACATTATTATAAACCCTAGTTTCTACTAAACCCTAACATGGCTAATTTCTATAAAAACATATTGACTAATTTCTACGACTAAACCCTAACATGGCTCGATTTGGGGGTTTACCTCAGTCGTCCTTCGTACTGCTTCAACAGACAAGAGGGATGAGTCCAGATGCACTCAGTCTCCATTGAAGAGATAGCAAGAGGCGAGAGGGATGAGTCTAGATCCAGAGAGGCGAGAGGAATGAGGCGTGGATCAAGAAAAGGAAGAAGAATAAGAAGAAGAAAAAAAAAAAACAAAACTCAAAACGACGTCGTTTTGAGTTTCGAGCCAATTTCGAGCCACGCCTTTCGAGCCCTCAAACATTTTTCTATATGTATATATGCATGCTTCGGATTATTATTAATTTTAGAGATAATAATTTTTATGATCATCATAATATGATATTAAATTGAGTGTATTGCTTGCCATTATGATAAAGCGCATAGATTAAAAGAAATTTTAGAATTTTGCTGAATCGTTCGGTCTATTAAATAAATATATTTATTTGATTGTATCACATTAGAGGATTATGTTTTTGCCTTGTCTAATTATGCACATTTATTGTCTATTATTGTTAATATTTATACATTTTCATGATTTAAAATTGATATCATGATATAATTTTATGACATTAAATATTAAATATTGAAGTGGTTAATTCATATTAGGTGTAATTCTTATTAACCATTATATGAGATATTCATGATTATCATATTCTATATTTTGATTTATATATATATATATATATTCATGTTTATCTAGAGTTATTATTATTATCATATTGATAATTGCAATCACATAAAAAAATTTCTAGAAATCATAAATAGTGATTTCATTAAAATAGTGATTGAATTAATGATAATTAAATAACTCAAATTAATGAATAGAGAATATTGTTGGTTAGTTCCGTATTTATAAGGTTTACTAATTTAGTAGCTGCTAAAGTGGCCTAGATTTGTAAAACTTATGAATATAAAACTACATAAAAGAATTGTTAAAAGGGTAACATTAAGGTCGATAATATTCTCAATTGCAGTTATAATTAGGAGATTGAGACTAGCCCAAAGGAGAGTCATTTTCAAATAATTATGAACTGGGTAGGATAATGTAACTTATGTAATTTGACAGATTAGAATTGAATACCCAAAGGTAACATGACTAGCTGAAAAATTGCATAAATTACTTTAGACCTACATAAGTGATTCTTGACGAGTGGACAATAGATATACCTAAGTTTTTCCCAAAGGAAAGACTTATGTGATATCAATAGTTCATCATAATTCTCAAAGCTTTAATATGTATATTGTTTATGCCTTTTTCCGTGTTACTTATGAGATCTTGTGTTAATACCTCTTAAGATCTGTAAAAAAGATAGCTTGCTATCTAAGGTGGTTGGACTTAGAAGGGAGGTTATATTGACTCCTCTGACCTTCCTGGGATCTTACTTGGTTATTGACTAAAGGACTCTTTAGTGACGTTACCCTAACACTTAAAGTAAAATTTGGTTAAAGGCTGTTGAAGATCGACAAGCCACTTGCTGGCACTATTATGGCTGAATTG